TTGTCTAGGAAATAGACATACTCTGGATGTATGGAGCTTTCAAACCCCAGAGGTTGTTGAACGTAGACTTCATCCTTCAGCTTACCGTTCAAGAAGGCTGACTTCACGTCCATTTGATGGACTCGAAATCCCTTATGTACAGAGAAGGCTAAGAATAAGCATATAGCTTCTAGCCTTGCTATTGGCGTAAAGGTCTCGTCATATTCTATGCCTTCTTCCTGGCAATAGCCTTTTGCTACGAGCCTAGCTTTATTTCTTACCACGATCCCCCCTCATCCTTCTTGTTCCTGAAAACCCATTTACAACCAATTGCAATTTTATCTTTTGGTAAAGGAACAAGAGTCCATACCTTATTTCTTTCAAATTGTTGGAGCTCTTCTTGTATGGCATCGACCCAACTAGGATCTTGTAGGGCTTCATGTACTTTCTTAGGCTCTACCATGCTAAGAAAGTTTACGAATAAACATTCATTAGCTGTGGCAGCCCGTGTCTTTATGCCACTTGAAGGTACACCTGCTGAGCATCTTGATATTTTTTAATCAAGAGCTCTTTTCTTTGTAAGCTCTGGTGTAGGAACTCCCTTTCCTTTTGAAAATAATCTTTTAGGGACTCAGAGTTTAATCTATCTCTTTCTTTTTCTATAAGCTCTGTATCCTTTTTCTTAATACCCGCTTTTAATTCTAAGCACTCTGTTTTAAAACTTGTTTCAGTGGATCGTTTTTTTGTAAAAACTTTTCATTCTCCACTGATAACTCTTGTTTTTCTACAGTCAATAGCTCTGTCTCCCGTTCAAAAAATAGTTTTTCCTTTTCTAAGGATTTTTGTTTAGATTTTTCGAGAGAAAGCTTTTGCTATAGATTGATGAAATCGTTTGTCAAAGCAGAGATGCTCTCTTCCAGGTCAGAGTGAGGGTAACCAAAGATAGAACATACCTAGGAGTCGAAGTAAGATCCAGACTCATTCTCAACAGCCATCCCACAGAAGTTGGCTTGGTCTTCTTCATCAGATGAGGAGTCAGAGACCCAATTCTCCTGTTCTGCCATGAGACTCCTTTGTGATCGATTATACTTGTACTTATTTTTGTAGTACAGTTCATCTTTCACAAGAGGGCCTCTGTACTCTTTGGAGTAGTGCCCCATCTTTCCACATCTAAAGCATCGGACGCCATGCTTCTTCTGTTCCGACTGCTCTTCTTCCTTTTTGTTGGGAATAGAAGGAGGGTTCCTTCCATCGAAAGACTTCCCTCTGCTTTGGTCGCTTTGTCTTCCTCTTCTGTCAAAGACCTTCTTTTTAAACTTCCTTTGGAATTTCTTGGTGATCAGGGCCAAGTATTTCGCAAAGGCATTAATGTCATCGTCTTCAGAGCTAGATGCTCTGTCTGTTTCATCATCACTCTCCAGGATGAGAGCCTTCTTTCCTTTCCTTCTTTCTTCTTGGGGTCTCCGTTCTCTGTGCGTTTGGCATGATCCTGTCTCTTTTGAATCAGAGACAAGAGCCAGAGGTCCGCCCAGAGCGACCTTTGCCTTCTGCACTTCTTGTTATTGAGCCTGCAGCGTCCCATATACATCATGCAGAGTCCATTCCTGTAGATTCTGGTTTGCCTTGAGCGACATCGTTAGATTGCTCCATTCTGCATTCAATCTCTTCAAGAAGAGCATGTTGTTCTCTTTTTGAGTTCTGATCACGTCACACTTGTGACATTTGTTGATCAGCGTGTTGAAGCGATGATAAGTCTGTTCTAAAGACTCATCAGGGAGTGCCTGGAAGCTATTGTATTCATTGAGGCATTGGGCACGACGATTTTGTTTCATCTTGATACCCCCTTCCAACTGGTTGGCCAGTTGATCCCACAAATCCTTCGCCGAGTCGCACACGTCTAGTGACTGGAAGAATTTTTTGGGAAGTGCCATGATCAAAAGTCGTTTGGCCTTTTGATCCACCTCCACTCTTCGTTTATCTTCATCGTTCTAGTCACGACGAAGTTTGGGAACTCGCCTGGCAGGTAGCTCAACTGTATCACCAGCAGTAGGAATCCGAGGAATGATGGTAGTAGGGACGTATGGGCCATTTAAGATTGACTCTTACAATTCTAGGTCAAGACCCTCGTAGAAATTGATCATCCGTATCTTCCATTGGGGATATTATTCCCTAATGAGAGTCGGAGGTTTTGTTAAGGAGCCGACACTATACATGGAGTTCCATGATTGAGAAGACGACATTTTTAATTGAGATTTTTGAAAAGAGAACTTTGACAAGAAGGAAGATCGACTGAAAAACGATTTCCAGATTACTCAAAAGCAAACGTTTTTAAGATTGAAAAATAGGAGTGATAAATCCTTTTGAAAACGAATAATCAAAAGAAAATTAAGAGTATAATCCAGTCGGATATCGATCGACTAATCAATTGATTTGATTAGCAGGCTCTGATACCAATTGTTGGAACCCATACACTCTTAATTTGCAGAAATATTGTTTGTGTAAAATAAGAATTAAGAACAGCAAAGTATTTCTATTGATTAAATAGAATATTCAAAGAAGAAAGTAAAACAATAAATAATACTTTGAATAACCAAATGCTTTTATTGATAATAGTGAATAATTGAAGAACAAAAAGTAATCTCACAAGAATTCGCGTATAGTATAAGTCGGCTCCTTCAGGTTATTTGAACCTGAGGCAGAGGCCTTCTTATATACGCCTAGGTCTAACAAACTATGCTATAAAAAAGGCGTGGAACTCTGAGCTGACTGGTCTGCATCCTTATCTTTGACTTCCCTTGAATAGCGGAGCAGACTTGGTCAAGCCGCCTTGAATTTGTTAGACGCTTTGCGAGAATATCTGGGCTAACATGCGCTTTCCGTGAAGAGGGTATCCAGAAGCTCTGCATGAGCATACAAAAGCTCTGTATGTACTATGCAGAGGTTCTGTATATGCAGAAGCTCTGCATGTACTATGTAGAGGCTCTGGGTCTTGGAGTTGTTGCTTTAAGTCAAGCGCTTATGCTTTTTGGCGCACAAGACTAGAACGTTCACGGAGATAGAGCGCGAGCTCTGTATGAATGGAACCTTCACTCTGAGTAAGAGCTCTAGTTCTTGATCTTCTATATGAGAGCTCTTAGCCAGACAACTTCTATAGACTAAGTCCTATTGACTAGAGCAAGATACTTCTTACTTACACTTTCACAAGTTGGGGTCTAACATAGTATATTCAAGTTAGTTCTTGAATTTCTTTAAAATTATTCTTTAAGATATATTGTTGCAACATTGTTCTTGTCATTACTTTATTTACTTTCCTTGTCATTTACTTTCTGCTTTTTTACATTCAGTCATTTAATTTCCATCATTTACATTTATTTCTTTACTTTCTGTTTTTATATTTCTTGTCATTTACTTTCCGTAATGAGTAGCTAATTCCATTAGCTTGGGTGTGAGACAAAAGGTGAGATGTTAAACCAAAGGAAAGTAGACGTTGTTTCGCAATAACAATGTTCCACTATTTCATTCAAGTTTTTATAAAAACTAATGACACTCCTTGACGATTTGATCACTTTGAAAGTGTTAAAGTGCTATGGTCTTAGTGATAAGTCATTGAATGCACGTCAACTTGAATGATATGAGAGGTAGACTTGAGAAAGTTACCAACAAGGACACTTGTCATTTATCTTTCAAACTAATTAATTCTTGACTGGTTCATGACTTGTTACAGTGTTAAAGTGCGATACATTCAAATAGGAACTACCTAGAACACACGCCAACTTGAATGATATGAGAATCAGCTCGAAAGAGTGACTTTTAACAAAGATATTTGTTTATCCATATATTCTGAGGACACCATTTCATCACAATCCCTCGTCAGGATACCACATAGAGATATAGATTGAAAGCTATTATATAGTTCAATGGTGGAAGTCCGAGAGGAATACCCTCAAAATAGATGGTGGAACTAGTTATGACTTACTGCTTACCGTAACGTTCCTACAACATTGTCTGTTGGAATTTGTGTTTACATCTCACCACAAGTATTACAACCATGCTACCTTTTTATATTATGTTATTTCAGCAATAGTAACTTAGATCCAACCGAGCTTTTCAATTTCATCATCTGAAATCATTTCTTTCATTAGACTCTTATTAAGCTTTTACTACAATCTCCGTAGACGATAACTGGTATTTACCACTTTATTACTTGGAAAAGACGACATTGCATCATATTGTATACTTGCCTTATGGTTCCTTTTATAAGTCTAAGGGTGTGAAAAATAACCTACCAAGTTTTTGGCGCCGTTATAGGGGATTGGCAAGCTAAAAATACTTTTTAAGAGTAAAATAAAATATTTGATTTTTCTAGTACCGTTTGAATCATTTGAAAGTGGTGCATGCCAAGGATACACCAAGGGGAGTTTCTAGAATTTGATCATGATATTGAGAGAACATTCTACCATATGAGGGCACAAAGAGCATTTTTTGCTCTACTCCCTCCCAAAATGGCATTACTTCCCCCAATCATTACAGATACGCCGCATTTGGAAAATCAACCGCCTGGTTTTGCACCAATACCACCATTTCAGAACTTTCCACAAGGACATCCACACAATGATAATGATTTGGGTAATGGTGACACAAAATCAAAAAATAAAGATCAACCATGAGTTCAAACTCCAAACATAATCAATTTGGAAAATTCTAAAAATGGAAGAATAATGGACTATGCTATCCCTGATTTTGAGCAATTAAACTCCAAGATAGTTAGGCCACAAATGACAGCCCTCCATTTCGAACTTAAACTGATCATGTTCCATTTTGAACTTAAACAAATGGAGATTACTGGTGCTTTCTTGATCCCGGGAATGTCTAACGACCTTCTAAGACTCACTTTTTTCCTATTTCCTTTACGGGATCAGGAAAAGTCATAGTGTAATTCATTAAAACCAGTAACTATGCCATCATGGAGTAATATGGCTAAAAACGTTATGCAAACATATTTTCCACCCACCAAAAAAGCTGAGTCCAGAAATGAAATTTGTCTTTTTAAACAAATAGACGATGAAGCTGTTCTCGATGCATAGGAGAGGTTTAAAAAGATGTTAAGAAAATGCTCACACCATGACATTCCTTACTGCATTCAACTCGAGGCATTATACAATGGGTTAAGTCTCATGGCTAAATAGATGCTCAATGCAACTACAGGCGGGGACTTTACAAGTAGTACCTACAATGAAGGGTATGAGATCCTTGAAAAGATTTCAGCAAATAGTGGGCATTGGGCTAATCCACGTGCTCAACCAAAAAAAAATACTATTTTAATTCATGATGTAGATGAATACACTACATTAACAGCATAACTCACTTCCATGGCCAACATGCTTAAAAACTTAACTTCTGGCCAAGGAGTGCAGCAAGCTGCTACTACACCTGTTCCAATAGTCCCCTTAGTGCAATGTGTTTTTTGTGGAGAGCAACACTCATGTGAACATTTTCCTCATAATTCTAAATCTGACAATTATGTTCATAATAGATCTAATCCCTATTCCAACACATACAATGCCAGTTGGAGACAACATCCAAATTTCTCTTGGAATAGTCCAAGTTTGAATCCACCCATTCATAAGAAACAAGCAACCTCTAGTTTTCAACATCAACAACATGCAAGCAGCTCAAATTCTCAAAATCATCACCAAAATTTTTAAGCTGCTTAACCATTTTTTCGAAACAAGCCACCTCTACATGCAGAATTATCATCCTCTTTGGTGACTATGATGAAAGGGTTCATATACCAAACCTAAACAATCATTAATCAGTAAAGTGCCGTTATCAGAAATTTGGAAACCCAAGTTAGTCAACTTGCACTCAATCAGACTAATAGAGCCCTCAGTATCTTTCCTAATAACACAAAAGTCTTTAGAGATTCATGTAAAGAATATGGGAAGGTAGTGACACTTAGAAGTGGGAAAGAATTAACAGAGGCTGTGCAAAAAGATCATGACCCTAATTTTTCAAAAGCTGATGCTACAACATTGGTCTCTGTTAAGGAAAAACTAGTCCAACCTTCAGAAAAAAAACATCTGAGGCCACCACTTCTGTCCCTCCCCCCAAGATCAGAAGGGAGTGAAGGTGTAGAGACCCCTAAGACTAATGTTGAAATCCCAGCTAGGCTACAAAAGTGTACAACAAAGGCCCAATGCATAGAAGATCCATCTTGCTCAGCACATTCAAGCAAGAAAGTAATAAAACCAGTTCCTCCTTATGTACCTTACCACCAAAGGTTGAGGAACTAGAAGGAAGAGCTGCATTTAAAAAAAAATCTTAGATGGGTTTAAAGAATTACATATCAATATACCACTTGTTGAGGAAATCGAGCAAATGCCTAGTTATGCTAAGTTTTTTAAGGACATCCTAAGTAAAAAGAAGAAGTTAATCGAATATGAAACTGTAGCTCTTACCAAAGGATGTAGTACATTTTTTTACCAATAGCATACCCCCTAAGCTTAAAGATACAGGAAGTTTCACTATTCCTTGTTCTATAGGTGGGAAGGAGATAGGGAAAACCTTATGCGACTTAGGTGCAAGTATCAACCTCATGCCTTTATCTATTTTTTCAACACCTTAGGCATAGGTGAGGCTACACCTACCACTGTTAGTCTTCAATTGGCCAACAAATCCATTGCATACCCTAACAGAAAAATTGAAGATGATCTAGTGCAAGTTGACAAGTTCATATTTTTGGTAGATTTTATCATTTTAGACATTGAGGCCGATAAGGACATTCCTATTATTTTAGAGAGACCATTTCTAGCTACCGGAAGAACTTTGATAAATGTCTAGAAAGGAGAGATGACTATGAGACTTTAGGACCAAAAAGTCACATTCAATGTCTTTAACTCCTTAAAGTACCCTGATTACTTGGATGAGTGATTAAGCATAGTTGAGATAGAGGCAATGTGTCATGAGGAAGGAGTCCAAGAATCCCTTAGGTTGAAAGAAGAGAGTGATGAGGTAATTTAGTAAGAAAGTATTGAGGAGTTAGAGGCAATAGGATATAATGTTGTCCTAGTAGATGCTGCAACATTTGAGCTACTAGAAAATAGTAAGCAAAAAGACTTCACCCCATCCATTATATCACCACCTGAGTTGGATTTGAAACAACTCCCATCTCATTTGAAGTATGGTTTTCTAGGAGAAGAAGGCAAAGTGCCTGTCATCATCTCATTTACCCTAGATTTGCATCAAGAGAAGAAATTAGTAGATATGTTGAAGTTGCACAGAAAAGCCTTATGATGGACCATTGCTAACCTTAAAGGGATTAGCCCCTCTATTTTTCATCATAAGATCATCTTAAAAGATAAGAAATTCACATCCATAGAGCCACAAAGAAGGTTGAACCCTGTCACGAAAAAGGTAGTGAAAAAGGAAATTTTAAAATGGTTAGATGCATGAATTATCTTCCTGGTAGCTAGTAGTTCTTGGGTTAGTCCAGTCCAGTATGTTCCAAAGAAGGAAGGGTTTACAATCATCACCAATGATAAAAATGAACTCATCCCCATGAGAGTAGTATCCGGATGGAGAATATGCATGGACTACCGTAGGCTAAACGAGGGTACCTAAAAGGACCATTTTCCACTACCTTTCATTGATCAAATGTGGAATAGGTTAGCAGGAAAGGAATTTTGTTATTTCTTGGATGGATACTCAGGGTAATAATCAGATAGTCATCTCACCCGAGGACCAAGAAAAGACCACCTTCACATGTCCTTATGGTACTTTTGCCTTTAGGTGAATGCCATTTGGTCTGTGCAATTGTCTTGCAACTTTTCAAAGATGCATGATGTCCATATTTTCTGACATGCTTGAAAAATCCATTGAAATCTTTATGGATGATTTTTCTGTATATGGTTCATCTTTTGACAATTGTTTAGATAATTGAAAAAGGAGTCTTGAAAGGTGTGAAGAAACTGATTTGGTTCTCAACTGGAAAGAAATTTCATTTCATGGTTAAAGATAGGATTGTTTTGGGACATTTGATTTCTAAAAGAGGAGTTGAGGTAGACGAAGCTAAACTTAAAGTTATTGAAAAACTACCCGAACCAAGCACTGTCAAAGGAATAAGAAGATTCCTTGGTCATGCTGGGTTTTATAGAAGGTTTATCAAAGACTTTTCAAAAATCTCAAAACCCTTATATTTACTTTTGCAACATGACCAAACATTAGATTTTACTGATGAATGCAAAAATGCATTCAACACTATGAAGAAAGCTTTGGTGACTGAACCAGTGGTTGTTGCTCCTGACTGGAACAAACCTTTTAAAATCATGTGTGATACCAGTGGCTGGGCTGTAGGTGTTGTCTTAGGTCAAAGAAAAGAAAAGGTGTTTCATTCAATTTCTTATGCAACTAAGACTTTGAATGAAGCACAAATCAACTACACAACAACTAAAAAGATATATTAGTTGTGGTCTTTTCCTTTGAGAGATTTAGATCATATTTGATGGGAACAAAAGTGATTGTGCATACAAACCATGCTGCCATCAAGTACTTGATCTAAAAAAAGGATGTTAAAGCTAGGTTGATAAAATAGGTTTTGTTGTTACAAGATTTGACCTAGAGTTAGTGGATAGAAAAGGAGTAGGCAACCAAGTGGAAGACCATTTATCTAGTTTATAAAAGCCTGAGATAGAAGAAGGATACATTGTTGAGACATTCGCTGATGAAAGAATCCTAATGATACAACAACCAAAGACACCTTGGTTTGCAGATATAGAAAATTTCTTGGCATGTGGCATAAATCCTTTTGATTATACATGCCATATACTTAAAAAAAATCATGATGCTAAATCTTATCTTTGGGATGACCCTTTTCTGTTTAAGCTTGGTGCAGATCAACTTTCAAGAAGATGCATCCTAAAATCTGAGGGGGCAGAAATCTTACAACACTGCCACCAAGAACCTTATGGAGGACACTTTGGAGGACAAAAACTGCAGCCAAAGTCTTACAATCTGGTTTCTATTGGCCAACTTTTTTCAAGGATGCCCACAATTTTGCACAAATGTTCAATGAGTGTCAAAAAAGTGGTTCCATTTCCAAAAAAAATGAAATGCCACTGAATGGGATATTGGAAGTTGAGTTATTTGATGTCTGGGGAATAGACTTCATGGGCCCTTTTCCCCCATCAAACAAATGCCAATACATATTAGTTGTTGTTGATTATGTCTCAAAATGGGTGGAGGTTGTGGCATGTGTTTCAAATGATGCGAAAACTGTGGTTAAGTTCCTCCAAAAACAATTTTTTTACACGGTTTTGGTACCCCCAAGGCACTAATCAGTGATGAGGGTACCCACTATGGAGTTCTTGAAAAATATAATGTTAACCATAGAATTTCCACAACATATCACCTACAGACAAATGGTTTAGCGAACTTTCTAATAGAGAAATAATAAGCATTTTAGAGAAGGTTGTCAAGCCAAACAGAAAGAACTGGACATTTAAGCTAGATGATGCTTTATGGGTATACATAACTGCTTTTATAACACCAATTAGTGTGCTCCCATATAAGCTAGTCTACGGCAAGACTTGCCATCTCTCTTTAGAGCTTGAGCATAAAACATATTGGGCAATTAAAGAACTAAACATGTCTTTTGATGCTGTTGGTAAGAAAACAAAGTTACTACTCTGTGGAATAGAAGAACATAGGCAAATGTCCTATGAAAATGCCAAGCTCTGTAAGGAGAAAATAAAAAATTGGCATGACAACATAATCCAACACAGAGAATTGAAAGAAGGTTAGCAAGCTCTCCTGCTTAATTCTAGGTTGAAACTGTTTTCAGGAAAGCTTAAGTGTAGATGGTCTGGACCTTTCCTTATTCATAAGGTGCATTCATACGGAGCGGTTGACTTAGTTAACCTGGAGGATAATACTGTCTTTAAGGTGAATGGACAAAGAGTAAAGGTATACCATGATCCTGAAGCATTCCCAGAGCATTGCTCTGTGAACTTGGCTACACCTTGCTAAAAGATTCAGAACTCAATGGACTTTTTGAAGTCCATCCGCGTTTGTAAATAAAATTTTAAGTTTTTTTAGGACAACTATGTTTGATGGTTTATTTAGTTGTTTTGT